TGACTTGCAGCTTTGCTGTTACACCTCTCTCCCTCTCATTCACACACATTTATTCAGTCTTACTAGTATTGTGCTTCTTAAGGACTTTGTTTTTTCTTTGCCCCTGTCTCTGCAGTATGTATGTATCAAATAAAAGAAACATCCACCTGGGTTATTTTCCATGCCTCACCCCCTTTACTAACACTTTGAATGACAGAAGCTTTTGGCTCCGCCTTCGCTACAGTCGCAGAGGGCTTATAAACCAGGCTCAGGTTGAGCACAGCTTCACCCACACAGCGGACACTATTTCTCACTGAGGCTACGCACAGGACCGAGTCATGGAAAAAGATGGAAGACCCAACTGGGACAGCCCCATGCAGTTTGTGCTGGCGTGTGTATCATATGCAGTCGGACTGGGAAACGTGTGGCGGTTTCCATACCTCTGTCAGTTACACGGTGGAGGTAAGTCCGTGTGACCCTCTTACACTGAGTCATGAGCAGCACTTTCTTGTGCCTCTGAGTGCGGAGGGAGGTTACCAGGTTTGCGGAGATTATGTTTGATCCGCACAGAGTGTATTTGATTTGAAATGAAAACTCTCAACACACTCTCTCTCTCTTCAAAGATTCAGTGGAAAGCAGTGATGTTGTACATAACGGTTTTTACTCAGCTCAGCTGGTAAACGACAGTTACTACAGCCATGTGTCATGTAAACGTCCGTTTATAATTGTCTCAATACCATTGATTGAATTGTAAGTAAGTAACTTAATATTCTTTAATTGGTGTGAAGAGTTGTTGATTAAGATGTTATCAAAGGGGGCGGGGCGTTCTCGTGGTAAATTTCCTGTGGAATCCTTACTTACCTTCCTCCTGACTATTGTCAGCTGTCTCACTGCTGAAAACAATAATAAAAGTAGATGATTAAGCGTTTGGAGCGAAAAGCAAATAATAATTTTGTTTCGAAGTCGGCTTGTTTAAACAGACTCCGTTTAAGTGATGAGAGTGCGCGATTTAAAGACGAACTTGTGTAAAATAAACGCAGCGCAAGCATTCAGACATTTAAAAAAAGAAAAATGTTTTCGCTTCTTCCCTGGAAATGTTTCCAACATATGGCACTTTGTGCCGGGGGTGTTTGTCCCGATGTTTCTCTCTGACTCTGTGCGTCACCCTTCATTTACTGTGTGGATGTGGAATTTTTCAGCGTACTAATACGTACGACAGCACTGTGCTGGTGACCGACACCATAACACTTTTTGTCTTGACAACAAATCACCTTTGTGAGTGTAATTAGAAACTCAGCACACTGTGAGTTGCAGAAGGAACAACGTGAAAAGATGTTTCACACATACAAGGTTGACCACAGCCAAGCACAGATAGATGGTCTTCTGCCAAGTAGGGGGACTGGTGCCAGTTGGGTCAGGGGTTTGTTGGCACACTGTAATTCTCCAAACAGAAGGGTACCACCATAAAAATGTTATTTGGAAATGCTTGTCTTCAGCCACTTACGCAAAACACCTGAAGGTCACAAGAGTATCAGGTGAGGACACAGACAGGGGGAAAAGAGTGGAAACCAAGTTTATAACAAAATGCATTGATTTTATTTGGGGTCATTTTTGACCCCACTTGTGGAAGAGTGTAGGTAGGTATTGGTAGATTGTGCATCCAAGGGTTAATATGGCTCCTATCAGCTTAGAAAGTGTGCTTCTGGTTTACACTCATGGGATTCTTAAAATGCTATGGTTGCATATTTTTATAATTATTTATAATTGTGGTGATGTTTATATAGCAAATTTGTCCACTGTATAACACCTGTACTGTATTCACCCTTCATGCTTTCAGGGGGGTTCCTAATCCCGTATCTCATCATGTTGCTTTTGGAGGGGTTGCCCTTATTCTACATGGAGCTCGCAATTGGTCAGAAGATGCGTTTAGGTAGCATCAGGGCATGGACTTCGATAAGCCCGTATTTGGGAGGATTGGGTAAGTGCCTGATTAAAAGGAAGTCACAATGCATTTACTGCACACTTTTAGCTACACTTTTGGAAAACTAGAGGTGTTATAAAGGAGTACCAAGGAGAGCCTTTCTCAAACAGTAAGCAGTTTAAATGTTGCATTAAAAGAAGCTAAAAAGGAGTCTGTGCAAAGGAGCTACAGACAGAACTTTGTAGAGTGCTGTGAATGAAAAACACCTGGACTTTGTTTAAGTTTTAATCTTTCAATTGAACAGTTTAATTTTATGTAGACAATTTGATTTCATTTTATTTATATAGCGCCAAATTACAATAACAGTTGCCTCAAGGCGCTTTATATGCAGGTACCCTACAATAGCACAGCAGGTATAGTAACAAGTGTCAATGTGAGATTGGTGATTTGATTTGCTGTTTTTCTCTGTTTTAGGGCTTGCTAGCCTTGTGACATCCATGTATCTCTGTCTCTATTACAACGTCATCATTGCATGGAGTTTCTGGTACCTCTTTCATTCATTTCAAGTGAGCTGCTAATTTTCAAGCTACTGCAGTTTTTTCAAACACATGCTACATTGTTGTAGCTCATTTGCATGTAACACATCTCTGCTGCTCTTCATGTTTATGTCAATTGCAGTCAGTCCTGCCCTGGTCAGTATGCCCCATAAATTCAAACCGAACGGGACCTACAGAGGAGTGTGATGTGGCTACACCCACCCAATATTTCTTCTACAGGGAAACACTGAACATCTCTCCTTCTATTGAAGAGAATGGAGGCATTCATACAGGACAGGCACTGTGTCTCGTGCTTGCCTGGGCAATAACCTACCTGTTCATTGTGCGAGGAGTAAAGTCAACAGGAAAGGTAAGGAGACTCATGAGTTTGTGTGATATGAGCACAACAATCGCCATCATGAAAATGCTACTTCATAAATTTTGATGCCAAGTAACATATCCCGAAATGCATTGTCACATAATTAAATGGTAAACAAACCAGTTCTTATATACTGCTTTTCAACTCTGCCTGAGCACTCACAGTGCTTTATACAATATAACAAGTTAACAGTATAAATCTTAGGCTGCAGACCCACAGAATGACAAAATTCCCAATCCTAATGAGGACATATATCTTTTTTTTAAAAAGTCATATCAACACAAAACCAAAAACAAGGAGCACAAAGCTGAAAACCACTCAAGGCAGTCCTACATATTTGTTTAATATGTGCGTTGAAGGACATGTCCTGGTCAAAAATGACTCCAAGGTTCCTCACAGCGTTACTGGAGGCCAAGGTAATGCCATCCAGAGGAAGAATCTGGTTAGATACCATATTTCTAAGCTTTTCAGGGCCGAGTACAATGACCTCAGTTTTATCTGAATTAAGAAGCAGAAAGTTAGCGGCCATCCAGGTCTTTATGTCTTTAAGACATTCCTGCAGTTTAACTCATTGGTGTGTGTTATCTGGCTTCATGGACAGATAGAGCTGGGTGTCATCTGCATAGCAGTGTAAATGTATGCTATGTCTTCTGATGATGCTGCCTAAGGGAAGCATGTATAATGTAAACAGAATTGGTCCTAGCACTGAACCCTGTGGAACTCCATAATTGACCTCAGTGTGTGAAGAGGACTCTCCATTTACAGTAACATTAGATGAGTCCACTGTCAGAGGCCATAAGAAGATCATTTGTAACTTTCACTAAAGCTGTTTCTGTGCTGTGGTGAGCTCTGAAACCTGACTGAAACTCTTCAAATAAACCATTTGTCTTTTAAAATCACTCTTTCAAGATTTTTTTGAGATAAAAGGAAGGTTGGAGATTGGCCTATAATTGGCTAAGACTGATGGGTCAAGTGATGGATTCTTAAGTAACCGTAACAGTTAACTGTTTTAAGTTTATTAACAGTAGTATAAAAAGTGCCAGTACAGAATGTTCCATCTGTGAGATGGTTATGAGTAATTAGTTCTCTCAGTTCACTGTACTTAATATGAATCTAGCACAGTTCTTTGCGGTGTGGTGGAAGTGGAGATGTTCCTAGATATGGACCAACAGCAGCAACTGTGTGATGTTATGTCAATATCCACCAAAATCTCTGAGCAATATTAACAAGCCTTCTATACCACACAGCATATGGGGTATAACCCATTAGTAGCAATGTGTACCTAATGGGTGATTTGGTGAATGTAATTTACAAATATTTAAACCAGCAGACCCTAGTGCCTAACTAAAAAAATACTGTAACACAAAGTTACCAAGTTATGATAAAATTCATTAACATTCCATCATCACACTTACGCATTTGAACTTTTCTATGATTGTGCTGGTTGGCTTCTACAGGTGGTGTACTTCACAGCTACATTTCCTTATCTGGTCCTGTTTATCTACTTGATTCGGGGTGTGACTCTTCATGGTGCCATCAATGGCCTCAAATACATGTTCACACCCAAGGTAAGAGTGTCTAGGAAATGTGCTACGCAGATAAGACTCTTGAGGTTTCATACTTAGAGTGGTTTATCTTTTATGTGTATGTACATTTGTCTGCTTTTAGATGGCTGAACTTGCCAATCCTAGAGCGTGGATCAATGCGGCCACTCAGATCTTTTTCTCCCTCGGTTTGGGTTTTGGCTCACTAATAGCCTTTGCTAGCTACAACCAGTACAACAACAACTTTCAGAACCAGGCCATCGTTGTCTCACTTATCAACAGTGGAACCTCTATCTTTGCCAGCATCGTCACCTTCGCCATCTATGGCTTCAAGGCTACTCTCAACTACGAGAACTGCCTGGACAGGTATGTATGTTTTGTGCTAATGCAGGGTTCCCGCTACACATGCAAGCATGCCTGTAAATTTACAGGTGTGTCCCTATAGGCGTGATATATTATACGGTTCAACGAGTAATTACAAATCCAGGCATGTGTACTTCAATTTCCAAAATTCAGAATATCACACATGCTTTGTAACATACTGTTATACTAGCTCATTTTTAAAGAGGCTCTTTGTGGCCTCAAATCCAACTGAGTAACTTAAAAAATACCACAAACTTTATCTTTGAACCAGTATTTTATATGTCAAAACAGCCAAATTTGCATGTTGTGATATGATGTTACAATTATAAGATCAGGATTGTAACAGTGTAAAACACTGGCATGGAAAATGACTTGTAAATGACTTCTGGTTAACAATACAAGCTGCAAACGACAATATTTAAGGCAGAGTGAGTAAACTATTGGCCTTAATTGGCATCAAAATATCTTGAATAAATCTTTTTTCTCATCTTAGAGAAAATAAGACATGGGGATTTTTTTTCTGTTATGATATTTGTGAAAATAACGTGTGTCAGCTATTATTTTTAAACCATTCACCAAGCTAATCCCATATCAGTACTATCCACATCAGCACAGTAAGGTCAGCAACATTTATGTCTTGTGCAGGAAAAGTTTTAAATTCAGCATAATTCAGCATTCCCGGACCATGAAACTGCAAACGTATTTGTATGGAGGTCAAACAAGGCCGTCTACATCAGCTTTTTGGACTAGCCGTGCACATTACATTAGCTTGTTGGAGATAATACCACAGACGAGTTTGTTTTAAGGTTATAAAAAAAATCAAAACTGCTGGTGCCCCAAACCCGGAAGCATTTGAGGTTTTAGTTTTGTTTTTCTTGGGTTTTCTTTTCCTTCAGAGTGGTTTTAAATACGTCATAGAAGTCTTAAATCTGACTGACTTTGATGAAATAAACCAAAACAAAACAAACAGTATAAGTGAGCGTAGAGATACATATAAATCTGTTTGGTTTGTTTTTTCACTTGGACCCTAGACTACAGTTTAAACATAGCTCTGGCCTGTGGGCATTAACTGGGTAACATTAGCCACATTAGCCATTAGCCAAACACAATGGATTTTCCTATTGTTGTGGGGACATTGCATCAAAATAAAAGTAATCCACTGGGTCTTCAGTTCCTCAGATGCCGGGAGTGCGTGAAGACGTCTGTGTTTGCGCTCGCAGCCAACAACTGAACATTTGGTGAGTTTTGTTTGTCGCTGAGACATTTTAGCGTTAGCTAGCTAAAGCGACTCTAGCAAGAAGTTAATAGCAGTCGGTGATGCAGCTGCTCAGGGATGGAGAGTGGGTCCTGGTTGGCCATGCTAGGGCAATGTCTGAGACCAGTGGCTGCAAAGTTGTGAGATCACAAGCTTATGGAAGAGCAACAAGGGCTCTAAATGAACAGTGTTTATTGCTGTCATCTTAACATCTTCATGCAAGTGCTTCTACAATGACACGTATTAGTGCTTTTACATGGAAACCATTTTTAAAAAGTCTTCTTTAGGATCAAGGTGAGGTGGTACAAACACATCAATCGTTCAACCAGGACGCTCGAGTAATGCCTGGACCAGTTGTTTGGGACCATTGTAAAACTGCGGTTTAGTCATTGTTTGGTTAGGTTGATGAACCGAAACTACTTGGTTATGTTTAGTTTTAGAGTTTAGCATAAGGCTTGGAGAACAAAAACTACCCGGTGAGGATGAGGAAAGAGTATGGTTTTGATTCTGTTACATTATTAACAAAGTTACAGACGAGCTCAACAAAACCTATCTGAAAATGACGACACCAGTGTACATTTTGCACTTCTCCAATAAAGATTACATTGAAATGAAGCTGTATGTTGTGATAACAGCTGACACCATGTTCATCGAGAGAATAGTCTGTCACTGTATTCTGAAAACAGGCTGTGTGCATTTCTCTGTCAGTTGAGTAATGTGGTACTTTAACAACATAGCATGTTGCTTTGCTTTATCACTAAAAGAAAAACACAGAAATGTTCTTTCTTTTGCACAATAGGACTTTGGACCTAGAATCTGGTATACAGAACGTGTGTCCAGTGTTAGATCACTTAATAACAAGACATAACAACTCTGAACAAATATGTGTGGTGTGGTGTGGTGGGGGGTTGGGTGGATGGAGGGGATTGGAGTTGATAGTAGTTGGGGGTTAGTGGTGGGGTGGGGGGCTGATATGTGGTAGGGGTCAAAGTACCATCCACGCGAATGCCAAAACCCAACAAAACATTGTATTTCATGAGTGTCATTCACTACACCTGCCAGTGGTTGGCAGCAAAACATGAAGTGAATAAATGCAATGATTTTACAAAAGTAATACAAAAAAGAACGAAATGGTTGGTTTTTGCAGTTGAAACAACTAAGAACAAAAACAGTTAAAACTGTCTCTCATCTGCCCCACAAACATAAGTGGACTGTAAACTTAGTTCAGTATCACATCAGTTTCCCAGTCTAATGAAGGAAACACTTTGTGAAATACGTCTAAGTTCAACAGGTTGCAAAATGGCCTGTGAAGGTTGAAGGTCAGGGTTAATTTGTGCTCCTTTTTCTTCGTTTTCAGAATGCGCATTCTGCTGCTAAATACCTTTGATCTAGCAGAAGACGCCATCAGCATGGACAGCGTTCTCGAGTGGACTGAGAAGCTGAACACAACATATCCAGAGCAGTTTGCCCAAATTGCTGACAAAGTAAGAGAGGGAGAGTGCAACCTGGAAAAGGAACTAGACACAGTGAGTTACACTCATCTACATACAGTAACCACACAGGAAACACTATTCAGTTATAAAATAATGGAAAGTTGGAAGTTATTTAAATC